GACGTACGGGCTACTGAAGAGCCTACTACAACCAAAGACACCTCAGGACTCTACCGTCACCTTGGATAAGATGAAGGACGTTCTACAGAAGCATTTCGATCCTAAGCCATCTCCTATAGTTCAGCGCTTCAAGTTCCACACGAGAGTTAGGAAACAAGACGAGACAGTGGCAACCTATGTGGCAGAGCTCCGTGTGATAGGAGAACATTGCGATTTCCAAGATTCTCTAGATGCTATGATTCGGGATAGGCTCGTTTGTGGCATCAACAGCATTCGAATCCAGAGAAGACTTTTACAAGAGCCAGATTTAGACTACGATAAAGCATTTCAAATAGCTCAAGCTATGGAGCTAGCTGCTCATGATGTCTCTGATCTACCTGGGAGTAAATCATCACAGCACCAGACGCCGACTCCTGTTCATAACCTTCAAAACAAGAAGGAATCGTCACACAGGCAGAGTAAAGTTGAGTGTTACAGATGTGGTGGAGATCATTACGCTACTAAATGCAAGTTTATTGAGGCAGATTGTAGGCTGTGTGGAAAGAAGGGACACCTAGCCAGGGTATGTCGCAGTCGAAAAGAGAAGCCACAGCAGCAGAGGAATCATCCTAAAGCCAAGACTGGGTACCCACCACAACCTCAGCAGAATAACAGACAACACCCAACTCACAACCTGGACCACAAGTCACATCCTCTTCTCATGGGAGACTCTGACCAAGAGGACTACCCATTGTTTACTTTGCCTTCTGCTGGAAAACCTATTGTTGTTTCAGTGAGTGTCAATAAGGTTGACCTTTCCATGGAACTGGACACTGGGGCTTCCTTATCTATAATGAGTAAAAACACTTATTCCTCTCTTTCTTCTACTCTTCCTCCAATTTCTCCTTCTCATGTCATTCTAACTACGTATACTGGAGAGAAGATCAAGCCAGTCGGTGCTATAGATGTTGATGTTCGTTATCAGTCCCAGACTGCTACTCTACCACTGGTGATAGTTCCTGGAAATGGACCTACTCTACTGGGTCGTAATTGGTTGGAAGTTATCCGACTAGATTGGTCCCTTATTAATCATGTTAATTATAATTGTTCTTTTTCTTCTTTAGGTGAAGTACTCCAGAAGCACGCTCCAGTATTTCGTTCGGAATTGGGGAAGCTGTGGGACTTCACAGCCAAGATTCACGTCCAGTCAGATGCGAAACCGAAGTTCTACCGACCACGTCCTGTCGCTCTATCCCTGAGACAAAAGGTATTCGACGAGATAGATCGCCTAAGGGGTTTAGGAGTTATTACACCTGTAAAGTACTCAGAGTGGGCTGCACCCATAGTTCCCATTGTAAAGACTGACGGGTCTATTCGATTGTGCGGGGACTACAAAGTTACTGTGAACCCAGTTCTGTTAACTGATACATATCCACTACCTCGATCAGAGGATCTGTTCGCTGCCCTAGCTGGAGGAAAGATCTTCTCGAAACTTGATTTAAAGCACGCTTACCTTCAGATACCGCTAGATGAGGCTTCCAAGAAATTTACAACCATCAATACCCCTAAAGGGCTCTTCCAATATGAGCGCCTTCCTTTTGGAGTCTCATCAGCACCCTCATTATTTCAACGTACAA